CAAAATAATTGGGGAGGAAAGCCTGTCCCCTCTCCAAACCCCCTTGGTCGGTTTCACTAACGACCGGGTGACCTCCATCGGCTCCGTTGACCTCCCAATCACTATTGGCGAATACCCACGGCAGACTACCAAGTTACTCACCTTCCTTGTGGTCGACTGTCCCTCTGCCTACAACATCATCCTCGGTCGTACCTCCTTCAACGCTTTCCAAGCTATCACTTCAACCTATCACCTCGCCATAAAGTTCCCCACCGACCAGGGGGTCGGGATAGTACGGGGAGAGCAGACCATCACCAGGGAATGTTATGTTGCCTCACTCAAGGAAGTCAAGTTGAAGGAGGCCATGATCATTGAAGGACTTGACGCCCGAGATGAGGATGAACTGGTCAGGGGCGAACCAGTGGAGGAGCTCGTTAAGATTCCCATCGATCCCACCAACCCAATGAAAACTGCTAAGATCGGCAGCCAGCTATCCCCCCAAGCCAAGGTCGACCTTATTGCACTTCTGACCGAGCACAATGATGTATTCGCCTGGACTCATTCAGATATGCCAGGTATCGACCCTTCTTTTATAACTCATCGCCTCAGCGTTGAACCTCATTTCCGACCGTACCGCCAAAGCAGCGCATCTTTCATCCGAAGCGCAATACTCTTATAGCCGCAGAGGTCGACAAACTCCTTGAGGCCCAATTCATCAAAAATGTCGACTACCCTAAATGGCTGTCAAACGTGGTCCTAGTCCGCAAGAACAATGACAAATGGCGACTTTGTGTCGATTACTCTGACCTGAACCGAGCTTGCCCCAAAGACAGCTATCCTCTGCCCCGCATAGATCTACTGGTCGATGCCACGGCTGGTCATCAAATGCTCAGCTTCATGGATGCTTTCTCCGACTACAACCAAATTCTCATGCACCCGTCCGATCAGGAACATACATCCTTCATCACTGACCGAGGTACCTACCATTACCAAGTAATGCCATTCGAATTGAAGAACACTGGGGCCACCTACCAATGGTTGGTCAATGCCATCTTCCATCACCAAATAAGTCGGAATATGGAAGTATACGTCGACGACATGCTAGTTAAGAGCAAGCTCTCCACCGATCACCTGACCAACCTGCGGGAGACCTTCGCCACGTTACGCAAGTACCAAATGAAGCTTAACCCAGAGAAATACACCTTCGGCGTAGGATCTGGGAAGTTCCTGGGTTTTATGGTCAGTCAGTGGGGCATTGAAGCTAACCTTGAAAAGATCAAGGCCTTGATTGAGATGCAGTCTCCCAGGACGGTCAAGGAGGTCCAAAGACTCACTGGCCGAGTTGCGGCCCTCAACCGTTTCATTTCTCGCGCGACAGATAAGTGCCTACCATTCTTCAAGGTTCTTCGGCAAACTTTTGAATGGACAACTGAATCTGAAGAGGCTTTCCAGCAGTTAAAGCAGTGCATGGCCAATCCACCCATCCTTTCACAAGCGATCACGGGCGAGTCCCTCTTCCTCTATTTGGCCGTCTCAAGCACCTCAGTCAGTGCAGCTCTTATTAGGGAAGACGACTCTATCCAATGACCGGTCTACTACATCAGTCGGGCTCTTAGGGGAGCAGAGTAGAATTACCCTCTATTAGAAAAATTATCCTTAGCCTTGGTCACCGCCTCTAGACGACTCCGTCCTTACTTCCAAGCCCATTCCATAGTGGTCCTCACCGACCAACCCTTGAAGAAGATCATGCAGCAACCAGAACTTTCCGGCAGACTTATGCAGTGGTCTGTGGAACTCAGCCAGTTTGACATCTCTTACCGCCCTCGAACAGTAATTAAGGGACAGGCTATCGCCGACTTCATCTTGGAATTCACTAATCCTACCCCAACCACTGCCCCTCTACCCCTGCCAGCTCCCATCGAGCCAGAAGACCCTCACTATTGGACTCTCAACGTCGACGGATCATCCCGCAGGCAAGGTAGCGGGGCTGGCCTCATTCTCACCAGCCCTGAGGGTGGTTATTCAAATGTGCGCTCCGTTTCTTGTTTGAGGCCAATAACAACGAGGCCGAATATGAGACACTGATAGCAGGCCTTCGCCTAGCCAGGGACATTGGTGTTAGCCACATCCGAGTGCTCAGCGACTCTCAGCTCATCGTCGGGTAGATCACGGGTGAATTCGACGCCAAGGAAGGCATAATGCGGACTTACAGGGATCTTGTACTTCCCCTGGTTCGCCTTTTCAACACCTTCCAGATCAGGCACATTCCCCGGGCAGAGAATTCTAAGGCAGATGAGATGGCCCAGCTGGCTTCCACAGACCAATCCGCCCTCAGCAGTGGCGTCCGTCTTGAATACCTATCCCACCCAGCCATTTCCCCCGACCCGCATGAAGTACAATTCCTCCAAAATGAACCCATCCCTTAGGCGTCGGACATCCTTCGATTTCTGACAGTGGGGGAACTTCCGGATGACCACCAACATGCCACCAAAGTCAGGGCACGATCGTCCAATTACATCCTCGTCGGCGGCATCTTGTACAAACGTGGTTTCTTACGCCTCTATCTACGGTGCCTCAATCCGACTCAAGCAACTTATGTGATGCAAGAAATTCATGAGGGCATTTGCTGCAATCACTCGGGCGGTAAGTCTCTAGCCCACAAGATACTCCATACCGGTAATTTCTGGCCCACCCTTAATCGAGATGCGACTGATTTCGTTCTCAAATGTGATAAGTGTCAGCGTTTTGCCAACATCCCCCATGCACCCCCTACAGAGTTGATCACACTTTCCAGCCCTTATCCGTTCGCCAAATGGGGGATCGACTTGGTCGGACCACTCCCTACTGGCCGAGGCCAGACCAAGTTCGCGATCGTCGCCATTGATTACTTCACCAAGTGGGTAGAGGCAGAACCCCTCGCCACCATTACCGAGCGGAACACAACCAAGTTCATCTGGCAGTCGATCGTTTGTAGGTTTGGCATTCCTCAGGCCATCATCTCCGACAACGGTAAACAATTTGACAACGCCAAGTACAGGAAGTTCTGCGTCAACCTCCAGATTCAACCTTGTTTCTCATCCCCTGGTCATCCCCAGGCCAATGGCTAAGTTGAGGTCACCAACCGCTCTCTCCTGAAGATAATCAAAACTAAGCTAGAAGCTGCTAAGGGACTTTGGGCTAAGGAGCTACCGAATGTACTTTGGGCTTATCGCACTACAGCTCGGACGCCCACTGGGGAGACCCCTTTCCGCTTAACATACGACGCTGAGGTGGTTATCCCAGTAGAAGTCGGTTTGCCTACTCCCAGGGTTTTCCATCCGGATCCAGCACTAACTGAAGAACTCCGTCGGGCTGACCTCGACCTAATTGAGGAACTCAGAGAGACCACCGCTGTCCGCTTAGCCTCATACCAACAGAAAATGAGAACACACTACAACCGCAAGGTCCGACCAAGGAAGTTCGCTGTAGGGGATCTTGTCTTGAGAGAAGCAACTCTCGCTACCAAAAATCCGACTGAGGATAAATTGGCAGCCAAGTGGGAGGGACCCTACATTGTGAAAGCCCGACCCCGACCAGGCACTTACCGACTTCTGGACATGGAAGGTCGAGACCTCCCCCACCCATGGAACGCCGAACACCTTAAATGCTACTTTCAATAAGCTCCTATTTTTGTATTGCTCAGTTATTGCATTTTTTTTTCGGGAAATTCACACATTCTTGATATTCCCCCACGCAATGTAACTTCTTGATTATATATCTCAATTATCTATATGTTGTCTCAGTAACATTCTTATTTGCAGTAATAAAAGCCTCTGCCAGACAGAGCACATAAAGCCTCAGCCAGACTGAGCACTAAAAGCCTCTGCCAGACAGAGCACTAAAAGCCTCAGCCAGACTAAGCACTAAAAGCCTCTGCCAAACAGAGCACTAAAAGCCTCAGCCAGACAGAGCACTTAAAGCCTCAGCCAGACTGAGCACTTAAAGCCTCTGCCAGACAGAGCACTAAAAGCCTCAGCCAGACCGAGCACTAAAAGCCTCAGCCAGACTGAGCACTTAAAGCCTCAGCCAGACTGAGCACTCAAAGCCTCAGCCGGACTGAGCACTACAAGCCTCAGCTAGACTGAGCACTAAAAGCCTCAGCCAGACCGAGCACTAAAAGCCTCTGCCAGACTGAGCACTTAAAGCCTCAGCCAGACTGAGCACAAAAAGCCTTAGCCAGACTGAGCACTCAAAGCCTCAGCCAGACTGAGCACTAAACGCCTCAGCCAGACTGAGCACTACAAGCCTCAGCCAGACCGAGCACTTAACGCCTCAGCCAAACTGAGCACTAAAAGCCTCAGCCAGACTGAGCACTCAAAGCCTCAGCCAGACTGAGCACTAAAAGCCTCTGCCAGACAGAGCACTTAAAGCCTCAGCCAGACTAAGCACTTAAAGCCTCTACCAGACAGAGCACTAAAAGCCTCAGCCAGACTGAGCACTACAAGCCTCAGCCGGACTGAGCACTACAAGCCTCAGCCAGACCGAGCATTAAATGCCTCAGCCAGACTGAGCAAGAGCCGCCTCGGGCAGTCCGACCATTAACAAACTCAGCCAGACCGAGCGCTGAAGACCCCATCCGGACTGAGCGTGAAGCACTCGGCCAGGCCTAACATATTGGGCTCGGTCAAAACCACCCATGCAAAACTTCACACGTATGGAATTAATAGTCACACTTAGTCACAATTCCAGGCTTATCATTTTAAGTCTCACTTTGCGTTATGGCGTTCTCAACTTTGGTCTTCATTCAGTCTTTATTACAAGTTTAAATTTCACTCTTATTAACCAGGAGTTCTATGCACACTACGCCCACGCTTCATTCATCTCAGATACACAAACAGAAAAAATCAAATGACAATCAAACGAAATTCTATTCATTCACAACTTTGTGTAAAAGTTCATTACAGCAGTTCATGTACAAATATTCACTACAAAAAAAAAAAACAAAACAAAACAAAAACAACAAAGTGTCTCTTTCTCCCTAGTTACTCCTCCCCACTGGAGAAGAGGTCTTCTTCTTCAATGCCCTCCTCCAGGGGGGTTTGGGCCACATCGTTTTCACCAATCGTTACACTACTAAGGTCTAAGCCTGGGAACAGCTCTTCGGCTCTATGTTTGAACATCTTCCAACCACTGTCCCAGTACTCAACCATTTCATACTTATAAAAGTCGGACTGCTGGAAGCTTGCAATAACCTCTGCGTCAGTTCTGCTTCCAGTGGTCGTCCTCGATGGGCCCACCCCCCCAGATTCTTGCCCAACCAGGCTACTCGCAACCACGGCATCAACCGCCGTCTGGAATTCGGCCGACCCTTTGAATTGCTCCACCGCTGCAACGCACAGATCGGGATAAGCCTCCCTTTCAGAGGCTGCCTTTACCCTTTCTTCGTCCAGCTCTTTCTGTAGGGCCGACCTCTCTGACGCAGCCTTTGCCCGTTCTGCCTCCAACTCCTTCTTCAAGCTCTCCTTCTCCGCCGTTGCCTGCACTCTCTCTACTTCCAACTCCTTCTGAAGCCTCTCCTTCTCCTCCACTGCCTTGGCGCGCTCTCTCTCCAGCTCCTTCTGGAGATCGCCCACTTTGCCATCGGCCTCATCTTTTTGCCTGACCAGCTCTTCGTTACTACTCATGGCCTCTTCATGTCACTCGACCGCAACGGCGCAAGCTCTTTGGGTCTCCTCCACCTTCTTCTGCTCGCCAGAAAACTGGAACTCGAGCGACACAACCTGGCGGCGTGTGTCCTCCAGCTCCACCTTAACTGCTTGCAACTCAGTATGGGCACTCTCCCAACTTGCACTCTTCTTCTTTAACTTGGCAAGCTGAGCCCTGACCTCATCTTCCTTGAGTTTGGCAGCCCCCGCCTTCCTCAGCAAAGCCCCTGCTAAGGTGGTTACCTCCATTTGAGCGGAGTACAAACCCCTTAGCAGTTCGGCCTCGTTGAATCTAGATGCCGAGCGCAAGGCTGCCTCTTCTACCACCCTTACCAAGCGGTCTGCTTCCGCCCTAGTTGGACCTTCTTCCCCTTCCAGCCGCCCCGCAATCGCACGAGCATGGTAGATCGCCGTATTTAGACTGACCCCCCCTGCTTGAGGTGTAGGACCCCCCTCGGGCTGTTCTTCCCTCCTTGGCTCTGGGCCAGCTGCCTCATCCCCCATTTGCCCTTCGGGGGCGGCCTCTGTGACCCCTACGGCGATCGTCGCCACCACTGGCACAACCTCCATCCCCTCTGAACCAACTTTCACCGCCTCTGGGCCACCTACCCTCCCTGGGACCCCTTCCACTTCTCTCCCCTTACCAACACTAGTTTCCTCTGCACCTGTCTCCCTCTTCCTGTTCTGGGTAGGCACTTCCTCACTCCGCCTCACCCTCTTCTTCTTCTTCCCAACGCCCAGCGCCTCCATCTCCCTCAAAGACCTCTCTTTCAAAGGGTCTGTTGGGGGCAGCCATGGCACAAAATCGCTTAAGTTTTTCTCTCCCAAGGGTTTGGTACGAGGTCGAATCCTCTCCCTCGCAACCGGTTTTGGTGGTCGGTCGGCCTGGGACTCTTTGAATTGTTGGGCTTTTGCCAGAATGGCCTAATCCTCCGCCTCCTGAGCCCTTCTCCTCGCCTCCAACTTTGCTCGATCGAGGTCCCCACTACTTGGTTTCGGCCCCAACCCCACCTCAAACAATGCCGACGGCTGCACGAGCTCGTCTCATTTGGCGTTTTCTTTCTCCCTCCACTCCTTCACCCTCTTCACCCTCTCCTCTTCAGCTGTCCCTAGTTTCGGCTCCACCGACCGGATGGGTACTTTCCAAATGGTGCGCACTCCCAGCCCCCCATTGGTAGACACGTAGAACCATCGTGGTCGCCACCCCTTGATCGACGACGGTAACCTCGACACCAACCCTCTCCCCACTGATGCCTGCAGAGTGACCCACGTCTCCTGCTGCCCCGAGGCCTTATAACATGCAAAGAATTCGTCCACTGTCATGGCCTCCCCTCCATTCGCTTTCGGCCAGGCACTTGCGCAGGAGAGCAGGATCTTCCATGTGTTGGGCATTAGCTGCCCCGGTGCTACCTCCAGACGGTTGAGCACATCCACCACCACTTGCGACAGCGGCAACCTCAACCCACCCTTCAGAGCTTCCTCATACAGAGAAAACTCCCCTGGCCTAGCGTCGGACGGCCTTTCCGTTGATGTCAGCAGCAATAGCTCCACTTCCCCAGGGATTTGGTATTTTTCGCGGATAGCCTCCAACTTCGTCCCAGTAATCGTGGATTTGTCAGCCTTCGTATGCCAATGATCTAGTTCTGCCTGACTGATTGGCTTTGGCGCCGCTATCATGGTGGAACCGCGGGGTCGTACCACCGACTCCCCCACCCTCTCTGTCCTATACTGCGCCGCTAGCTCCACAGCATCGTCATCCCCAAGTGGGTCCACCCTAACAATTGCCCTCCCTTCTTCGGCCATTTCTGTGGTATATTTGCGAATCGCTTCGGCGGCAGGAGCAAAGAAATCGCAAAAGTGTTGCAGAGGTGTATTGTGAGCAACAAAGGAATTCACACTTGGAATATTTTGATTTTTCGTAAGCAAGTAGGTGAATCGAATAATGCCAAAAGCCCACGGTTTGCCCGTATTCCAAGGATCCCAATTAATTTTCGCCAGTTTGAAAACTTTTCAAAAAACTCCGCCCCCCCCTACGGGATGTGGCCACGTGTACATCCACGATCCACTGCCCCCTCCCCTTACCTTGTCTTTTCCACTTCAACTCACCACGGGGCCCGCCACGTCTCGAGCCCCACGCCCCTCCACCTCACCCTCCCCGTGGTCAGCCTTCCAGCTCGGCCAACACCGCGGTCGGCCCTCCCCTCGGTCGGTCCTCCTCGCGGTCGGCCTTCCCCACGGTCAGCCTTCCCGCTCGGCCAACACCGCGGTCGGCCCTCCCCTCGGTCGGTCCTCCTCGCGGTCGGCCTTCCCCACGGTCAGCCTTCCCGCTCGGCCAACACCGCGGTCGGCCCTCCCCTCGGTCGGTCCTCCTCGCGGTCGGCCTTCCCCACGGTCAGCCTTCCCGCTCGGCCAACACCGCGGTCGGCCCTCCCCTCGGTCAGCCCTCCGGTCGGCCCTCCTCGCGGTCGGCCTCCCAGTCGGTCCACATTGCGGTCGGCCTTCCCTGCGGTCAGCCTTTTCGCTCGGCCAACACTGCAGTCGGCCCTCCCCTCGGTCGGCCCTTCTCACGATCGGCCTCCCAGTCGGTCCACCTCACGGTCGGCCCTCATCGCGGTCAGCCCCCCCTTTTTCCCGGTCGACCTCCATCCTGCCAATCCCTAACACACTTATCTATGTCACTCATAATCCCTTCATTGGACTAAAGCTGCACTCGGGACTGGGGGACTACTGATGTGTATAAGCCCATAAAGGCCATGAAACACCCACGGCCCATCACTTGAAGCACAGTGCATAACCCAGCTGACGAGGTCCAGGACAGCTGGAGTCCAACATGACACAAAGAGCTAATGACATTCAGACACACGGCAAGAGAAGGATGAACCACATCAGCAGACAAAGATCTGCAAAGTTATTGACACTGCACATCACCATTAATGCAGCCCATCACAGCATTTATTACGACAACACCTCTCTGTCGGAACAGGACCCCCTTACCCTGAGCAAGGTGAGCTACAGCATAGGCTTTCGACGAGGAGAGCAGGTCGTAAGGGACAGCGAAATGATTGGCAAAGGATATAAGCAAATGTTGTAGACAAGAAAAAAAGGTTAAGTTCTCTATCTCGAATCCTCTCCCATATACTCCACTTCTCTTCCTAACTTGATCGTCGGAGGGTTCACTGGGGGACTACCCCGTTCCCCGTTGAACTTGTTTGCAGGATATCCGGTGGGCTCGATCTTCTGGGCTTGGCCTTGGAGAGCTTGGACCAGTCTGATCCATCCACTGGGATGAACGGTATCAACAAATACGAATCAGCCTTTGATCAGCAATCCATGGACATAAGACAATGAAATTGATTATGATCGGATGTTATGCAAATTACATAGTCATAATTTAGTCATATTAATGTGCTCATATTACAACATAAACGTATTGGAATACATGCTCGAATCCTCTCCCATATACTCCACTTCTCTTCCTAACTTGATCGTCGGAGGGTTCATTAGGGGACTACCCCGTTCCCCGTTGAACTTGTTTGCAGGATATCCGGTGGGCTCGATCTTTTGGGCTTGGCCTTGGGGAGCTTGGACCAGTCTGATCCATCCACTGGGACGAACGGTATCAACAAATACGAATCAGCCTTTGATCAGCAATCCATGGACATAAGACAATGTAATTGATTATGATCGGATGTTATGCAAATTACATAGTCATAATTTAGTCATATTAATGTACTCATATTACAACATAAACGTACTGGAATACATGCTATCGTAATTAAAGTATATAAAACCATAATTGGCTAAACTAGACTTTATCCCCATAAAGTATGATCTATTGGTTCATTTTTTTTCTCAATTTAATTGTTTAATTATTTAATTATTTTAATGTAATTCAATTGGCGACATACCACAAAAAAAGATGAAGAAAATATCATGTCATACCAGCTTAGGTTCTGTTTGTTTTGACATAAAATATTTTTCTCAAAAATATTTCACGCATTTTTTGTTGTTTGGTTGAACCAAAAGTAAATAAACTATTTTTTAAGAAAAATATTTTTGCATCATTTTCCAAAAATGACTTACCTTTAAAAATTTCATAAGTCAATTTTTACAAAGTTGACTCTCACTGACTACATTTTCAACACATTTAGGGGTGCCCTTACACACCATATTTTGAGGCACACCATTAATTGGTTATTTTTTACTACAGTAATGACCTTACCTAAAATGATCAAAATGACCACAAAAGAATATCAATACACACCTTAGTTGAATACATAACATCCAAACCCTAACCCTAGCTACAATTGTTGCAACCGCGGCCATTTCATCGCAGCTACCTCGTCACCCGTCTCTAGCTCCGGTGAATCCCCATCATCACAAACCCTCCCTCTCTCTCTCTCTCTCTCTCTCTCTCTCTCTCGCGATCTGTATTCTTGTGATATGCAAGGTGGTGGGTTGTGGGGTTGGTGACGGAAGGGAGGCGCGACTAGGCTAGGAAGGGGACAGCAGCAGAGCGTGAATGAGAAGAGAGATTGACAGCAGTCAAGGTGATCTACGAAATGAGGCAACTTAAGGGACTGGGCAGCGGGTGGAATATGCAAAGGGTCATCCATTTTTGAAAATGAAACAAAAAATAGTAAAGGATAAGTTCATTCGAAAGTACAGAGCCGGACTATTCAATTTTGTTCAACACTAAAATGTCGAACATATTTCGACAGAAACACTCCGAACAGAAGGTTAACGTTCGATAGATCAGTGTCGAACAGGTTGTAAAATCAAACTTGCATATACAATGCCACTGGTTCGTAAAATCAAACATTTATATACAATGCTCATAGCAATGAAAAAAGTACATAAAACCCTCAAATCTAAGCAAAATGAGAATTCTCACGTACTGTATCTCCAATGTGGAGTTATTTTCACTAGCGTTTTTGATGAAACAAAGAATGAAGGAGAATGGGTCTTCACCACTGGTGTCTTTGATAAAACAGAGAATGGAGGGAGAGATGGAAGATCGTGGATAGGGTGTGTGAGTGAATAAGGGTGAAGATGGAAGATGTGGGTGGAATGTGTAAGGGTAAAGATGAAAGATTGTGGTGTGTATTGAGAAAATTTTGTATTTATCAAATTACAAAATGTGTGCCTTGAGTAGTGGTGAGAGGAAATGTGGTGTGTAAATAGAGGCTCCCCACATTTAGCCTTCTTAAATATCTTAGCTCATTGAAAAGTCATAAATAACACTTTATTGAATCAAAATTTCTCTCACTACAAAAATTTCAATTTTTTGCGACGGCATTTTTCCGTCGTTAATACTCCTAATGTCGTCTCAAAAAACTTTAAGCGATGGCAAATGACTTTTAGCGACGGCAAACGGGGGGTTATAACAGAGGGCGTTGCTAAAACGTTTTAGCGACGACATCATTTTTTTTGCGACGACAAATGTTGCCTTTTGAAACGGCATTTTACTATCGCCTATAATATGTAAAACAATTGAGATATTTTGTGAATGCAATGTTATACCGTCACTAAAAGTTTTATTTGAGATGACAAAAAAATGCTATCGCGAAATGTTTTTTTTGTTGCGACGAAATGACCTCTGTCGCCAATTTCTTTTGCGACGACATTGCCTATGTCGCCAAAAAAATACATTTTAATTCTAATTTTTTTTTGCGACGGTGTGGTGCCATCACAAAAAAACAAAAAACAAAAAACAAAAAACAAAAAACAAAAAAAAAACAAAAATAAAC